TTGAACTGCCAGCCTTCTGGTTAACAATCAAGTGTCTCAGGTACTATGCTACCAGAGCCTCCCCAGAGCATCTTCGAGGAAAGTAAAGGGTCATGAAAATGAAGGTGGGAAAGACTAAAACCAAATTTCACCCACATCCCCTTAGGAGTCAGGACTTTCTTGGTTACAAGTGATGGAAACTTAAAGGGGGAATTTATTAGGTCAGAATATCGAAGGCACTGGGGACACCAGCTAACAACAAGACGAACAACTAAATTGTAAGCTGGTCAGGAATCCAGCTGAGCGTCAAGAAGGCAGGCTCCTGAACACTATCCACTCTCCTCCATCTCCTTTTCTTCTCTGCTCATCAGACCAGCTTTCTCCATTTGGAAAACAGGACAAACGGCTGTTGACCAGGGCTTTGAACCTGTTCATTCCAATGTATCCTCTTATGTAAGAATCACCTGGGGGTCCTTAACAATCGCCTAGGGAATCTTGTTAAAATGTCGATCCTGATTCAGTATCTGGGATGGAAATGAAAATTATCAGCAGGGGGTTGAACCCAATGAACGGGTTCAAAGCCCCGCTATTGACAACTCTCAAATCTCAATTGCCTCCACCATTGCTATTGCTAAGACAGAGACTTCTTTTTTCACTTCCAGCTAAGAAAGTTCCAGGGAAGGATTCTGATTGGTCCCTTTTTCATTTCTAGCTTAAAAAAGTTTCAGGGAAGGACTCTGATTGTCCCAGCTGGGGTCCTGTATTCATCCAATCACTAGTGGCCCGTCTAGGTGCAAGGTCAAAGCTGTTCCCACTCTAGCCATGTGGATTGGGGGTGGGGGCAGGCACACACATCACCCTGTGTGTGCTCATCACATCATTTTGCTCGGGAGTGATTCAGCATGTCCATCTTTTATCCTAGCCCAGGTCTGAGAGAGCAACACCTTTATATTTGTCATGTATAAAGTTATTTGTTACTGCATCCAATCAAAGCTGATGGCTTTTTTGTTCTGCTCAGGAAAACTCTTGTGTTTTAGGTTGGTATCTTAGAAACTCTGCCTGTCTTTATGAAAATATTATGAGAATTGTGGGCCTATGCTGCCTTTATTCCTTCGGGAGCCTCTGCAGTGGAGGCAGGCAGATGAGGGTGTGATGGGCTTGCCCTTTCTGGCGCTATAATTCCGCTCCTGTCATGCTCTGTTTCTTCTCGCGGTCACTGAGTCCGCCTAATGCAGGCCCCCGGCAGGCAGCCTGGTGCTCCCTGGGGCTGAGGATCTAATGTCAGTAGGGCACCATTCAGTTCACATTGAAGATGGATATTAAGTCTTTTTACCCAGGGTCTTGTCAAGAAAAACAAAACTGCCTGCTATCAAAGGCACAGAAAATGCCCCCTTCCCTAACAGCAGTTGTCTGTGTTCACTGATATTGAAGGAACTGTCTGTCACCAAGTCTCCCAGGCGATTTTGTCAAGGTCAGTTCAACTGATCTTTTTCAACGAGAACCCAAAGAGGATCACGTTAACACCTGACCTTTAAAGAGCTTTATCCTTGGGGAACCAAGCTAATTAAAACATTAAAGGAGCCTGGCAGTGCAGTGGTTAAAAGCAATTATGAAATGAAAAGACTACTTTTAAAAAAATATTTAGACCAAAGTCCAGGAAAAAAGATAAACAAGCTGCTCATAGCAGGAGAAATATCCGTAGAAAATTCCAAACAGCAATTTAGACTTGTTATCACATGGTTGAGCTCAGAGTGGGAATCTGCAGACGACAGAAGTAGATTCCAAGCCTGGCTCTGCTGCTTCTGTTTATGTGGCCCTGGGCAAGTGTCTTACCTTTTCTGGGCTTTGTTTTCTTCCCTGTAAGATAGGGATAACAATACTACCTACTCCTTAGGCTTGTTGAGGGGCTTAAATGAAACAGGTCTGTTGGTTTAGTTAGCTCTCAATGTTACTATGGACATTTTTAGGAGTGAAATGCTGCTCTATGTACTTGCTCCACCATCTGAATGATCACCGTCTCTTGACAAGGTGGCTGGTTCTCCTTACATCCAGAATGCATGAGAAACCTCTTAAGGTTCTGACATGGCTTAGCTTTGTACAGGATGCTACCAGCATAAAGGCAACAGCACCAGCCCAGCTGCCATTGCACTTGACCATCTGCTCTGTTGTTGTTATGTGCCGTCGAGTCGGACCGACTCATAGCAACCCCTTCTTGGGTTTCCAAGGCAGTATCACTACGGAAGTAGATTGCCCCATCTTCCTTCCGGGGAGTGGCTGGTGGGTTCTAGATACACATTACTATGATTCTGCTACTACTAAAGACATTGAGAGGAAATGGTAACATGAGGATAACCAAACCAAAACAAACCTCACTGACATTGAATCAATGCTGACTCACCGTGACCCCCACTGAATTTCCAAGGCCATAAATCTTTATGGAAGCATACTACCCCATCTTTCTTCTGTGTAGTGGCTGGTGGGTTCAAACCATAGACCTTTTGGTTAGCAGCCAAATGCCTTAACCACTACACTACTCCAAAACTCAAAACCAAACTCTCTGCCATTGAGTCGATTCCAACTCATAGCGACCTCATTGGGTTTCCAAGGTGGTAAATCATTATAGAAGCAGATCACCCACTCTTTCTTCAGCAGAGTGGCTGGTGGGTTTGAACTGCCAGCCTTCTGGTTAGCAGTCAAATGCCTTAGGCACTGTGCTACCAGAGCTCCTTAACATGAGGATAGGGATATTTTCCAAGAAGCCAGGAACACTTCTGCCCTTTAAATTCCCCTATCTGTTGATTTATTTAAGCAGATACTTTTACTTGATCAATGTTTCCATCCAAAGCATTGTTCTTTATGTTGGTTTTCGTTTCATTGATTTTCGAGATAGTCGAAGTTATCTCCTTTGCATGTTGATAAATGAGATAGCTGAAAATAAAAGCATGGGGCAGAATTTAGACGAATTTCAAAGGCCTCTAGCCTCAGCTACTCACTGCTGGGTCCAAGACCAGCATCTTTGACATCACCTAGGTGCTTGTTAGAATCAAGGCTTGGAATCTAACAAGTTTGACCCTCTGCTGATAATTTGCGTTTTCACCCCAGATAATGAAGCAATCTACATTTAGACAAGATCCCCAGGTGATTTTTTTGTGTGTACATGTGATTCTTATCTTGTCTAGATTCTGATTAGGTATCTGGGGTGGATGTGAAAATTCTCAGGGCAGGGTGTGTGTGTGTGGGTGCAAACCGGAAGTCAAAGCTCTGGTTCCATTAGCAGAAGCTCTGATCCTGCCCCAGACCTGCTACATCAGAATCTGCATTTAACTAAGTCACCAGGTGGTTCTAATGCACATTGAAGTTGGAAAGGCACTGCTTGGGAGCAATGGTTCTCAGTCTTTGCTGAACACTGGAAACACCTGGGGAACTTGGACACACACTGATGCCTGGGTTCCACCCACCAAGACCCTGACTTAATTGGCGCTGAGAGTTTTTAAATCTCCTCAGGTGATTTAATGTGTAATCTAGGGTGAACTTGCTCAGGGAAACTGCTTTCTTCTTCCTTCACTTATACTACAATATTTGTTTTCTCTAGAAGTGAAACTTTCTCAAAGTACAGTTGAAGCTCATTTCATGTTGCTTGTATCAAGATGGAGGAACATTCTGTAGACAAGACCAGACGGTTTGAAGATTCACTTTGAATTTTACAAAATAATCTTTATGAATGTCTTCTGAGCCTTGGCCGAGGTCTCCACGTTCCCTCTTTTATTTTGAAGTTCAGAACTAGGCATCGTCCTCTAGTACAGCCCTAAACAGCCTCTGCATCAACATAAAAGACTTTTGTATCCTTCTGAATGAAAGGTACTGTTATAAATAAAGTCAGACCATTTGAATGGGGTGGGGGTGGGGGCAGCTTTAATAGCCAAGCAAAAGATTTTCTCATGTCTACACTCAGTCTGCTGAGTGAATGAGCCAGTTATATAAGGAGAAAATCAGCCTTCTTAGTTTTAAGCTTTTCTAATACAGCAATAAATGTGTTGCTGTTTAACCAAATAATAAGTTATCTCGCATCTGCAATTCAAGATGACTAGACAGATAAACTCACTTGTACCAAACTTTAAGACAGTTCAACTGATTCAATATATTATTAACATAAAAGTCAGCTGAACTGAGACCTTTGAGACAACTGGTAACCTTAGACCAGTGGTCTCCAAACCAGACAACTCAATTTATAAAAATCACCCGGGCTGCTTATGAAAACTATATAGGTGTCTGGGCAAAGATACCTGGGTTTTAAAAAGCTAGCTCAGTTCTTCTCAAACTTTAAAATGGGGTCTTGATAAAATTCTAATTCCCATTCAGTAGCAGCTGCAACAACGGGCTCAAACATAGCAATGATTGTAAGGATGGTGCAGAATGGGGCAGTGTTTTGCTCTGTTGTCCATAGGGTTGCTCTGAGTCAGAACCCACTTGATGGCACCTAATAACAACACGAAGGTCTGGTGGGGCTTGAGACTCTGCATTTCTAATAGACCTGAACACTAGGCTGCCCTGCTGCTTCATGGACCACACTTTGAGTGTGGCATCCTACTGCCATTCAGTCAATTCTAAGTCATAGGGACCCCCATTGGGTTTCCAAGGCTGTAAATCTTTATGGAAGTAGATTGCCTCATCTTCCTCCCGAGGAGCAGCTGGTGGGTTTGAACTGCTGACCTTCAGATTATCAGCCAAATGTCTCACCACCATGCCACTAGAGCTTCTTTTGAGTGGCATAACTCTAGAAAATTCTGACAATCAACCAGTTTGGGAACTAGAACTTTAGGCATCACAAATGTTGCCTGGAATATGAAAAAATGCATCTCCACCTCAATTTTTACCAGCTCAGAGTGTGCCAATGAGAATGATACATAGGCTAATGGAACATGGGCAAATTCAACGTCAGTTGGTGAAGAAATCCAGTTGAGAGTGTTAAATTATGCTCACACTTTGCCAACAGAAGAAGAAAGTGGGATTCCTTTATTTCTCTAGTGATCTATTATGCAGAGCTCATCACAGCAAACACAAAGGCAGGAGGAACCGTTACTTTAAATTCATATTATTTTAGCTGATGTATCTGGAGCACAGTGATAAATTAATCATGACGTCTGGTCTGATTCACAATCATATTCTAGCCCAATTTACACTTTGCATTTGCAGAGCTGAAACGCAATTCATTAAGATGGTGCAGACAGCCCGGATTTCTCTATTCACCAAACCCATGCAGGGAGGTGCTGTCTTTGCCATCCACTTAAGCACCTGCCTGCAGGCCCAGGGCCAACAGTGAATGGAGGCTCAGGACAGAGCCCAGGAGGCAGAGAGAAAGGAGGATTCAGCCTGAGGAATGGTCCACTGCCTAAGGGGCAAAGCCTGCTTGTGAGAAGGGGTGGGAGTCATTAAAAAATAACTTCCTGGCTTAATGACCAAGGCAGCTTATTCATCAGACAAGGGGAGTGGCCGTGTTGTTACTAAACATAACAGATGGCAGCTGTCGGCAGCTATATAGGGCAGGCTGATAAATCCCCCTGGATGGTCACACCACACTCTAGGGGTGGAGGGAGGAGGTGTGGTGGAGCTGCCAGCCCAGCTCAAAGGGTGCCTCCTGCAGGAGGACCACCCAGGAAAAAGCTGCCTTCTGGGGACAGCACCCAGGAGGGCACACCCAGGCTCTGGTGCTGAGCAAGGCTCAGGACGCCTAGGCCCACCCACTTGGCCTGCTAACAGCAGGGCCCAGCGATGCATGCCTGTTGGTGAGACGGGCTCCTAGGGCTGGGGGATTTGGGCAGTGGGGACAGGCGGCCTCTACATGTGGTCATCTTCCCTTTTACCTGCCAGTACCCAGCTAGCCCAGGGCAGGCATTCAGGAGGCTCTGCTGCCCCAGGTAGATAAGGACTCTCCTATCTTCCACCCACCCCCTGCAACTGTAAGGTACCCAAGGAAACATTGATTAATGGATCAAGTATTTATCCACTGCCTGGGTATGCTCGGCCCCCAGGAAGGAGTTCCAGGCTGAGGCTAGGATGTGGTCTCCCCCTCACCTACCCTTAAAAAAACTAAGTATGGTCTGTAGAGTACTCAGCACTCACACACTTCACCCCAACACTCTACAAAATAATACCGAACCAGGTAGGAGTGCTACTTTTGTATGAAGAGGGTCATACTTAACGATTTCCGTGTCACAAACTTATCTCTAAATCCCAGATCAAGACATAATATGTCAATGACCCTTGGGTTTGGTTTTGTGATTTGGAGGCTTATTCAAACAGGAATTTCTGACAAAGTTATAAACGTAGCTGTTAGAAATATTTAATACTTTTATTGAAAATAATGAAATTGGACAGCAAGGGAAGCTGCCTGGAAGACAGGACACTGGAGTCCTGGCTTTGGCTTGGTAGGGAAGGAAAAGGGAGGGCATCTGAGAGTTCTAATCACTGAATAACCACACCATCCTATACTTTTCAAGCTGTAAAGACCTTGGAAAAGAAGGCCAGACAAACTATACATCAGACACTTATCTCTATATAATGGGAACTATGCAAGTAGAGAGGCCAGGGAGCTCGGATCTGGAATGTGCAGCCCAGATGACCACATGGGGTCCTGTGCTGCACCTCCCCATGAGTTTCACTCTCCCTCTGTGTGGCACAGTTCATGGAACTACCTCCTCTCCCCACCCCCTATCATCTCAACACTTTCATCAACAAATGTAGGCAGAGGCTTCCTTATTTTCTCTTAATTTGCTATACACTGAGAGATATATTGTCACTGAACTGGGAAAAGTTGAGATTCGTTCATTCATTCATTCATTCATCCAACAAATGTTTATTAAGATCCTTCTGTGTGGCAAATTCTGGTCTAGGTGCTCAGACTCTGAGCAAAACAAGTATGAATTTCTGCCCTCACAGAGCTTACAAAAAGCAAAAAAAAAAGATAAAATCTCTAGACATTGTAAACCTGACAATGGGCTGACATAGCTTCCTGTAAATAGAATCCTTCTTTTTGACTTAATGAGAATTCTGACACATTGTGGATACTAGATTCATGAAGCTATCATGTGATTACTTAGTAATGAAAAAAAAAAAAAAAAAAGCATAGCTGATGGAAGAATCCGTATATTTGGAAGAATAGAAGGAAGTTCTAATTCCTTCTCATGAACTTATCTAAGGATAAGGCCTTGGTCGCATACAAACCTCTCTGCAGTGATGAGTGTATGGATAGAATAGGAGTTTGATTATGAAACGTTATGGAACATAGATCTCCTGTCGCCATTTCTGAGAATTCTTGGGTCCAATGAGCAGAGGAATGCAAGCTTCCAGTACCCACCACCACCTATCTGTCAGGTCGCCGTGACTTTGTCGTGGTGACTTTGTTGCTGTGAGGCTGGAGGCTATGCCACCGGTATTTCAGACACCAGCAGGGTCACCCATGGGGGACAGGTTTCAGGGGAGCTTCCAGACTAAGACAGACTAGGATGAAAGACCTGACAATGTACTTCTGAAAATTAGCCAATGGAAACCAGGAATCACAATACAATTGTTGTTGTTGTTATGTGCCGTCGAGTCCGACCCGACTCCTAGCGACCGCTCCTTGGGTTTCCGAGGCAGTATCACTACGGAAGTAGAAATAGGGCTCTCAAAATGGACTTGAGCAGACCAGTGATCTGAAAGAAGGTACAGGACTAGGTCATGTTTATTTCTGTTGTACATGGGGCCAGCCACTGGATAACAACTGGTACCCAACTTTAACAATCCTTCAAATCCATTGGGACCACAATGCATTTTTTTTTCTTGTGTTATATTTTACTTACTTTTTTGAAAAAAAATTTTTTTTGTTGTGTTTTGGGTGAAAGTTTACACAGTAAACCTTTATGTTCTCATTCAACAATTTCTACACAAGT